CCACAAATGTGGTTATGCTTGCTTTGACTCGGTTCAATGTTGAACCACAACGTTTGTGGGTTGGCACACACATGTATCACGTCCACGGTCCAACTCTGGAAATAATTATGCATACAATGGACTCAGGACAAGGTGCGTTTCTATAAGTCTTCCTACCATCATGACCAAGTTGCGAAAACAGGGTCAAACAACTTCTATACAACGAAAGGAGACTGCGAACACATAAAAGGCCACAACATCTTGGTCTTCATATCTTATATTATGCATGTTTATGAACTCATCTGTCATCTACCGTTATGCCTGATGATGAGTGCCATGATAGGAATTATTTAGTCAAGCATGAACATGGATGCTTGGTCACTCACCAAATACTCATGACTAATTGCATGGAATCGATAAGGACTTTTTCACGGGCCCTTCGATGCTGGTATAAAGTCTTTAGGGGGAAAAGCTAGTTAAAATGGTATCGTAATATCTACATATTTCATTTGGGTAATTTAAACTCCGAGTCCCTACATTACTTTAAAGGTTAATCGAGATCTCGTCTTATACCTCAGTACAATCGAATAGGAGGAACAAGATTACCTTAGATTCTAGACAATTGAACTGTTGTTTTACGTCATTATTGACCCAAAATATGATTTAATATGGTGGATACTTGTGAATAATGACTGAGCGTATGTATTCGTTATTTCATTGAAATAACCAAGGATCAATACAAATATATTTGGTAGTGAGACCTAGCGAAAAACGCCTAATGTAGCATTTTAAAACAATAAATCTAAGGAATTAATTTGAGCGAACCTTGATAATTACGACTTTCATAACTCGATTATTAATTAGAAAATTGAAAAGCCATAAGTAACTATGTTCAAAGGAAGTTAAGGGACTCTGAATAGGTAGTAAAATTGGACGAAATTGTCCCAAAAATCAGAAACTAGAAGGCAGTGGAATTTCAGCCTGCTTCAATTTTATAAATTTGCATATCTCCATTGACGTCCTAAGTTAGACCATATGAAATAACCTATTGTTTACAAAGCAGACAGTGACTGGCCACTGGTGGTTTTATATGCACCAGCAGTGAAAGTTTCTATTTTACAGGCACTGCGATTTAATTATTGTCCGATACCATAAACTGGGATACTCATGTTAGTTTGATATTTGGTTGCCAGCCAAAACGAAATTGCACATTAAGATACATATATTGATGGACTCATAGGCCAAGCAAATTCAGGCTTCGTAAAGCCTTTCGTAATTAGCAATAGAGAGATGATAAATCATGGATGCAAGACGGTCTTGATCATACTTCAGCTAGGAGGGGTCCGAGGAGTCGTCTCCTTGGCTGGGGGGGAGAGCAGCGGCTGTGCCGTCGGTAAGAGTCACTTCCCGTGGCTTAATTGGGGGCTGCGTTGAAGAGTTAGGTGGTTCGAGTATTTGAGAATGTTGGGTCCCAAGCCCGGCAAGTGAAAGAATAGCACGATCTGGTGAGTCTTGCCAGCCAATGGAATCATCTATTTTGACCTTACGATTCTTCTCCTTTTCCACCTTTAGTCAAACAAAAAGAAATCGGAGGTAGAAATAACCAATTGAGGCGTATAATGCAAAGGCTATACAGGAATATTAAGTTATGGGGTGAGCCTTTTAAAGAAATTCGTGTATTATGTTCCCTATCAGGCACACCCTTGAGGGGTTCAATATGAAAGTTAAAGGATATTTGTTCAAAGCTATTCGCAATCCGATAGATTGAAAAAGTTTTGACCAAGTAAATATTACTTGGGCATAATTTGCTATACCACAATAAATTGTAGGTTATGTTATTTTTAAGAAATTCGGCTCGGCGATTTAGAAAGAATACAAGACAAAAACTCAGTAATGGATAAACTAGATCACATAAAAAATGTAAATCGGGTGGAATTATGCATAAACGTGGTCTTTTTTTACAGGGCTAGCAATACCCTTTTGAAGAATCTTTCGGATGAAAAGGCTATTGCATATTAACATAGTTCAGAACTTAAGCAATGGGCTGAAACGGAATCTTCTAGTTTAAAAGTGAAGATCTATTTAGCGAGGCTATTAAAAGGTAATCATTAAAATATGCAGATTTTAAGTCACAGCAAGGGAACCAGAATTTAAATTAAGTACTATCTAACATGGAGAGCAACATTTAGTAGCATGCATGACAATAAGGATAGCACCCCTGCATATACATTTGCATAGATTGAAAAAAAGATGAATTCGGAGTCTGTGTATAGGTAATCTGATTCTGTTCTAACTGTTATACTCCAATCTCAAAAAGTAAACCAAGAAGCCGAAGCAAGCGAAATAAAAAAACCCGGCTTGTATACTGCATGGTGGGTGTAAACGAGCGTCAAATCCGCAACAATGGGCCTCGTGCATAATGTCACATGATCTCTTATGAATCAACCACAAGAGGGAAGTGATAACAGTCTATAAAAGACTAAGAAAAGGATAATGGACAAAAGGGGCTGTTAAGACTGCTATAAAATGCAGAGCAAAAGAATTTAGAGGCCTACAAATAAATATCAAGGGTCATAATTAGATGAGAAGACAGTTATTTTCAATACAAAAGAAATATAGCGAAGGAATAAGGCAGAAGTGACGACTGACCGCTTTCGCATTCCATTTTTTGAGGTCCCTCAGTTTAGCCAAATGTGTTGGGGCTCCAGCGGCCCAAATCTCAACACTCACAATTTTGACTGGAAGACCACCGGTAATTCGGACAGTTAGAAAGTTTTCGTCAATTTCGAGCACAGGTGATTCCAAAGGACGATGCCCAGCCAGAAAACCCCTCTTTGAAGTCC